AGTATTTTGAAATAAATTGTGCCATCATATAAAATTTGGAAAGCCAGGTTATGCAAAGAGGTAATTAACAAGACAGGTGAAATATAGGTTCCCCAGATCCTTATTTTTCCAAGTCTTTGTTGAGATAAGAGGGTGAGGGAGGATGGTGGCTAGGGGACGGTTCAGAAAAGGAAGACCATTTAAACGATTATGCAGTGAAAAACTGACAGAAAATCTAGAGTTGAATCGGTTCCCTAAATCAAGACATATGTCTGTGTCCATAAATGGGATCTCTGGTATTTTTTACTTTCTGAAAACAAAAAAGTATTTCATTTTGTGCTAGAAGCATGAACATGTTTAATTAAATTGAACTGAGGATGAGTTTTTTTTTTTTTTTTTTTTTTTGGCTTTGGCTTTTGAAGTAGCCCTTAAGAATTCTGTGCATATCTTATTTAACATATTTGATATTGTGTTTTTTGTGTGTCAGTTGAGTAGGAGAGCTACTTAGGTTAAAGATATTTATAAGGGATTTACAGAACATATTTAAGTATCTACCTTAAGCTGCCTACAGACAAGGTTGAGATTTTTAGTGTAATCTAAATAATCTAGAAATCTTGGTGTTCAAAATCTGGATTGAACTAGGTATTTTTCTCAGAAATTCTGCATGTTGTTGGATTTTGTCTTTTAGTTTATTGATAAATTGAATTATATTCAGTAACATGAGGTAAGCATTTTTGTCTTTTTTTTTTTTTTAATTGGTTTTTTAGTGTTTTTGCCCCGTAGCCACTAGACCACCAGGGGGACAACTTTTTGTCTTTTAAGTTTTGATAGGATATTACACTTTTATTTTAAAAATCTGTACTATTCTGTATAAAATTGCTAGATTGGAACAGAAGTGTAGATTTTGATTATTTCTATTAGTCATTTTTTTGCTTTTTGTTTTCTTTGCTTTTTGCAGAGACGGAGTCTTGCTTTGTTGCCCAGGCTGGTCTCAAATTCCCTGGCTCAAGCAATACTCCTGCCTTGGCCTCCCAAAGTGCTGGGATTACAGGTCTGTTAAACACTTAGTTTCTTTTACGTTGTGTATTTTCATGTTACTTAAAACAAACTAGACTAGTTCCACATTCTTTAATTCAGAGTAATAATCAATAGCTTAGATAAACTGAGATGCCGTAAATAATATACTAGTATTCCTTGGCCCTTATTTCAGGTTTTTCTTTGACTTGATTCACTAAGTAAAGATCAACAAATAAGTGATCAACAAGCACAGTGCAAACAAAGAGATTTGAGAACAGCTTACCTAAGGAAATTTTTTTTTTTTCTTGGAGACAGAGTTTTACTCTTGTCACCCAGGCTAGAGTGCAATGGCATGATCTTGGCTCACCGCAACCTCTGCCTCCCCAGTTCAAGCGATTCTCCTGCCTCAGCCCCCCGAGTAGCTGGGATTACAGATATGCGCCACCACGTCCAGCTAATTTTGTATTTTTTAGTAGAGACAGGGCTTCTGCATGTTGGTCAGGCTGGTCTCAAAGTGCCGACCTCAGGTGATCCACCTGCCTCGGCCTCCCAAAGTGCTGGGATTACAGGCGTGAGCCACTGAGCCTGGCCTGCTTTTTATTTTTTATGGAGACACAGGGTCTTGTTGATCTTGTTCTGTCATCAGGCTGGAGTACAGTGGTATAGTCATAACTTACTGCAGTCTCAAACTGCTGGGCTCAAATGATACACCTTAGCCTCTCGAGTATCTGGGACTATAGGTGCAAGTCACCAAGCCTGTGTGTGTGTGTATGTCTATGCGCACGTGTGCACAGAATCTCACTTTGTTGCTCAGCCTGTGTGTATGTCTGTGTCCATGCACACATGTACACAGAATCTCACTGTGTTGCTCAGCCTGGTCTCAAACTTCTGACTTCAGCCTTCTAAAGTATTGGGATTATAGGTGTGAGCCACACATCCAGCCTAGAATGGAATTTTCATTCTACTGTCTTAAAAATCTGAGTAAATATCATTTCCTTAGGTAAGCTGTTCCCAAATCTCCAGCTTAGAACTGGTAGACCTTTCTGCATCTCACATAGATAATTCCTTCCACTTTTCCTTTTTTTTTTTTTTTTTTTTTTTTTTTGAGATGGGGTCTCACTTTGTTGTCCATGCTGGAATGCAGTGATGCCATCTCAGCTCACTATAACCTCTGCCCCCCCAAGATCAAGTTACATTTAAGTCAAGACCCCCTTGACTTAAACTCCATAACGGCTGACAACAGAGGATATTTTGTCAACAGCATGTAACACAGTTTATATTTTGTTGAGTGAATATTAGCAAAGGAAAAGGATTGGTTTGGTTTGGCTGGCGTATTTATGAAAGAGGATAATGGGAACTTGGAAAGTTAAAAGTATTGAAAGGAATTTGGGAATAAACTGGGTGTAATAGTACCCCTTATCCAAGGGGTATGTTCCAAGATCCCCAGAGGATGCTTAAAACCACAGGTAGTACCAAACCCAATACATACTGGGTTTTTCCCTGTGCATACATACCTATGATAAAGTTTAATTTATAATTTGAGCACAGTAAGAGATTAACAACAATAACTAATAATAAATAGAACAATTATAGCAAAACGCCAGCATCACTACTCTTGTAATTTAGGGCCATTATTAAGTAAAATAATGGTTCCTCGAACACAAGCACTGTGATATCAGGACACTTGATCTGTTAGCTGGGATAGCTACTATATAACTGATGGGTGGGTAGTGTATACAGCATGGATATGTTGGACAAAAGAATGATTCAAGTCCTGGGTGAGACAGAGTAGGACAGCACAAGCTGTCATCCTACTACCCAGAACAGTGTACAATTTAAAGCTTACCAATTGTTTATTTCTGGAGTTTTCTATTTAATATTTTCAGACAGGGATTGACTGCTGATAACAGAAACCAAGGAAGATGGAACTACAGATAAGTGGGAACTACAATAGTTTGGTTGTAGAACTAACCTGGTAGCTATGTAAGATAGATTGAAGAGACTCAAGAGGTAAAGAGTTAGAAGACTAAGAAATAGTAATGGAGCCTGAGCTAGGGTAATGACTAGAATAGGAATCAATCAGACAGTAAAAATTTATTGTCTTCTGTGTACAAGGCATCATGCTCTAATTGCTGGACATAATGGCAATGAATGAATGAGGAAGATACCGTACGTGCAGTTTGTTTACATGTATACAGTTTACCTTGGAAGCAGATATTCAATAAAACAATTACAAGTGACTAGAATAGGAATCAGTCAGACAGTAAATATTTATTGTATCCTGTGTACGAGGCATCATGCTACTAATTGCTGGACATAATGGCAGTGAATGAGGAGGATATGGTGTGTGCACTTTGTGTACATGTATACAGTCTGCCTTAGAAGCAGATATTCAATAAAACAACTACAGCAAAAATAGGTGCTATGAAAGCACTCAAATGATGTATCACAGATGGGAGAGGTGTCTTAGGAGGCTTATGGAGGGTCTTGTTTTAGCTGAGACTTGATAGTTTCAATGAAGATAAAAGACAAACATATATATACATGTATGTATACTACATACTCTTAAATATTATACATGCATATGTAGGTACTCTTCCATCAGCTGAACTGACAACCTACTAAGACTGCTGTGTTTTTAATTCTGGTAAATTAAGCATTGCAATGGCCCTCTTCAACCTGATCATAAAATTGGAAAAATACAAAATGCAGATTGGTTGATATCAAAGAGTATTTTACATCAAGATCTTCATGGTCTGGTCCTTTCCCTCTGTCTCTTTTATCAAATTCAGTGGCCATATAGGCTATATAGTATATAGCTCCAGGGAGTGACCCCACAGTTTATAGCATAAACATACACATTGCCCCTGAGTTTTACTTATGTTTTTCCTGAGATTTTACTTATTACTGATGCTCCTTATAGGTTTACTTTTTCAGTAGCTTTTGGGATACATACGGTTTTTGTTACATGGATGAATAATATAATGGTGAATTCTGAGGTTTTAGCTCATAACTTTTAGCTCCCACTTATAAATGAAAACATAAGGTTTTTGGTTTTCCACTCCTGCAATACTTCACTTAGAATAATGGCCTCCAACTCATCCAAGTCACTTCAAAAGACATTATTTTCTTCCTTTTGATGGCTGAGTAGTATTTCATGGTTTATATATACCACATTTACTTTATCCACTTGTTTGTCAGTGGGCACTTAGGTCGGTTTCTAAGTGAATTTTGAATTGTGCTGCTAGAAATATGTGTGCAAGTATCTTTTTCATGTCTTCTTTATGCAAAGGTTTACTTTGTATAACCATTGCGTAGTTGTCCCTTAGTCCTTGGGGGACTGGTTCTAGGACCCTCCTGGATGCCAAAATTCATAGATTCTCAGGTGACTTAAATAAAATGGCAAGGTATTTGCATATAACGTATGCATATTATCTCATACTTTTAATCATCTCGAGGTTCTGTTAAAAATGTAAATGCTATGTAAATAGGTGTTATATTGTATTGATTTTTCATTTGTATTATTTTTGCATGGTTATTTTTTATTGTTGGGTTTTTTTTTTTTTCCACAAATATTTTTTATCCATGGTTTGTTGAATCTGAGGATGTGGAACCTGTGGATATGGAGGGCTGACTTTTAATATACCCTTATATAGAAGAAACATCATAAAAGCGTTTTAATCTCTTAGATCATTACTTGTTGAGCATCTGGTATAAATGTAAAGTACTGTTCTAGAACCTGGAGGATTTCCGTAAATACAGAATGTAGCATCCTCCCCTCAAGAATTTTACAGTCCAGTTGGTGAAGGGAATAGGTCGTGCATACTACAGGTCAATAGGCAGAAGCATATGAACAAATCAGACAGTAGGGGTCATGGTATGTAAGAGAAGGGTGATCCAGAAATACCAAAAAGTCACTATGCAGAGAGTGAGTCAAGACTGTGTACACAAAACTAAGTTTTTGGACCCAGTTAATTAACATTGCTGTTTTTACTTTTCATTAGCATGTTGGCGGATAAACTGAACATGACTCCAGAAGAAGCTGAAAGGTGGATTGTAAATTTGATTAGAAATGCAAGACTGGATGCCAAGATTGATTCTAAATTGGTGAGTATTATGTTAGCTATGCTATATACTGTCAGTTCCTGATTTTACTTTTAGGAACTCCTAACTAGGACCTTTTATTACCTCCTTTAATAATTTATTTTGTTTCAATGTAAAATAGTTCTTTGAAGGCAACAGCAGCCTCATATTTTTTTCTTGCTTGGTAAATATTGTCATCTCTATACAGTGCATTAAAATATATGCAAAGGTTATGTCATGCTCATTACTTACTGAGAAAGTTATTAACATTGTAGGATCTGTTTCCCTGTGTTTCCTTTTAGGGTCATGTGGTTATGGGTAACAATGCAGTCTCACCCTATCAGCAAGTGATTGAAAAGACCAAAAGCCTTTCTTTTAGAAGCCAGATGTTGGCCATGAATATTGAGAAGAAACTTAATCAGAATAGCAGGTCAGAGGTAAGAACCACACATTTTCTATTCTGTCTGGGATTTAGCAACCATGTAATTGTTACATGAAGTTTGGAAGTCTGTCAATATGAATTGTAGCTGATTTTTTTTCTCTTTAAAGGTATGAACATTTTGTTTAAGAAATTACTTAACAGAAATGAATTTTTTCTTAGCTGTATTATATGTATTAAACATGGAAACTGAAAAAGAAATTGTGTTCCAGTTCATTATAACTATTTTTCTTTTGCTTTTACTCTTCCTGTGTGACTTCATTAACTCATTTCCTCAGGGTTTTCAACACATCATTTTGATACTGGCAGATGATAACTTACATGTGTAGCTCTCTTTCAAGTGTTCAAAATGTGTATTCTTTCTAAATCTAAAGAAACAGTTATGTAAAAATGTTGATCTTATTATATGTATTAGTCCTGATCTTATACAAATTTCATTATCTTTCATCTGATATTCATATGAAAAATTAATCTCCCATTTTGGTAGAGATCCTGCATGTTAGATATTAAAGAAACTTGAATGGCCTTATAATTTTGGAATCCTAAACTATTTTTAATGTTGTTTAGACATTATGAATATGTGTAACTGGAGAATAGGAAGTCATTAGGAAACAGTTGTGGAATGTGCAGAAACCCCTTTTGATTGAAATTTTAGAACAAATTTTGTCCACAGAATAGTCCTTTAGTTCGAAAGAGAAGGATGCATTGGAATGCGAATTGCATGCTTTAACCAAGTTTGGAATAACTGAGCCTGGAAAATAACTTTCATATGATGTTTTTTTTCCGTATGCTTCAGGATTTATTTGTATTTTTTATTGTTCCAGTATTAATGATACTGTTATTGCTATATATTTTAATTGGCCAAAAACTATGTCAGATAATAATTTTGATAAGTTGGTTTTGTCCTAAGTGGGACATCTGACATCTATCTAGTAATCACAGGAGTTGAGATCTTACAATGGTTTGGCAAGAGTAGTGCTAAAGTAAATGCTTTGTCACTTTCTTCTATGTTAGCTTTTTCCAAAAGTATTTTCTTTTTACCCTGTTGATTTCTTTTTGCATATTTTAGGCTCCTAACTGGGCAACTCAAGATTCTGGATTCTACTGAAGAACCATTAAGAAACAGTGAAAAAACTATAAAGGAAAGATGATATAATAAAATTATTATGTAAAGGGTACCTTACATTTTGGAAACAGCATATTGAGTATAAATTTTGAAGAATTGGAATAAAATTGACTATGATTCATTTTATTTTGCTGTCAGTTTTCTTGCATGTACAAGTTTATGGGGTTTTTTTTGTTTTTTGTTTTTTTACTTTATTTTGGAATAATTATATATTCAGAAGTTTCAAACATAGTACAGAGAAGTCCATGTAGGCTGAACCCAGTATCCCTCAACTTTTTCATTTTATGTTACTATGGTACAGTATCAAAACCAACATTGTATGTGAATCTACACATGTAATAAAATGGTATGTGAATAGCTCCATACCATTTTATTACATGTGTAGATTTATGTACATCACTGCAGCCAAGAGAGAGAACTATCATCATCATGATCTCCCTCATGCTACCCTTTTGTAGCCATACCTACTCCCAACCAGCTCTAACCCTAGGGATCACTAATCTGTTCCTCATCACTATAATTTTGTCATTAGGAGAATGTTATACAAATGGAATTACATAATATACAACCATTGAGATTAGATTTTTCATTTATCACAGTGCTCTTGAGAGCCATCCAAGTTGTCATATATATGTATGTACACACATACATTTATATGTATATATACATATATATACACCCACATATATATATATGCCTCTACACACACACAAAATCAGTAGCTCATTTCTTCTTATTGCCAAATTGTATTCCATGGTATTGATTTACCACATGAAAGATATTTTAGTTGTTTCCAGTTTGAGACCATTTGTTGCTTAATTTCTTAAAGTGGCTCCTCAGTCACTCACTGTATAGTTATGGAGACTAGGCATGTAGGTCTAATTTTATAAGTGTCTCCCTAATTGTTAAATGCAAGCACATACTGTTAACTGGATACTTGAGGCATTTAAGAGATACAAAGCCCTCATGGGGTCTCTTTTACATAGAAGTAGCTTGATATTTCACTTTGGTTGTTGAACTGACAGCCAGTCAGATGACAGAAACTTGTCACTGCTCTCAAGGAGGAGGTTCAAAGATAAAAGATACATATATATTGTTCTTTTATTTGACATCTGATCAGGCCACATTCCATATTCAGTTAAGTTTGGAGACTACAGTATTTAAGTTACATCTGCCATTGAAAGAGCATGGAGACCTCCCAATATTAAACTTAGCATGGGTGTCTATAAACTTTTCCTGTAGAAGTCCAGATATTAAATCTTAGGCTTTGCAGGCCATATGTTCTCTGTTTTAGCTATTCAACTCTGTCATGTAGCACAAAAGCAGCCTTTGTATGTAAATGAATGCTTATGTCTGTGTTCCTGCAAAACTGTTAACAAAAACAGTCCAAGGGCATTTGACCTGCTGTGGTTTCCATCCCTTGGCTTGGGGTATTGGTACTTCTAAGCTTTAGTCTAAAGATGCTGAAACTAGGAAGATTATTGGTTAGGATAAGCCAAGGGCTAATTTTTTATTCATTCGTAACCAGTGTTACAAAAATGTTAAGTATAGGACAGGAAAAAATACAGAAATATAAAGAGGATTCTTGATAGTACAAAATGGTGCCAACGTGTGACGTCAGTAACAAGATAGAACAGACTCTCCATATTTGTAGCAGCTAATTCCATGAATTAAAAGTTCCAATCTTTATTAAATAGAGCCATAGTTATACAGAACTATGTAAAATTGCATAATTACTCAGGCTATGTGTAATTGAGAAAGACGTTCTCAGTTGAGAAGGAAGGAAACAAGACCTCCTCCATGTTTCCTTCTTCACCAGTAACCAAAGGGCCAAAAGTTCTTATATGGAGACATCATTAATCACTGTTTAAGACTAGCTCAACCAAGCCACATTAATAGCTAAAAAAGATTTCTAGTTGATTACGTAGCTCAGCTGTTATTAAATATGCCCTAGTGGACTAGTAAAAGCCCTAGGTAGGAAAAATAGAAGGTCAATAATCAGTATTTGTTGTGTGTCATAGGAAGCCAATAGTATTTATCATGTGTCAGGCTTTTTCATGTCCTCTGTTTCTCTAAATAAGGAGAAGGAAAGGAATCTTAACATTTGAATGCCTTGCTTAAGCCTGGAAATATTAAAATTTAGGTGATATTATTTATATATTATTGATGAGGAAGCATACTCAGATAGTTACCTAAGGCAGGAGTCCCCAGCCTCTGGGCTGTGGACTGGTACCAGTCTGTGGCAGCATTTGATTCTCACAGGAGCATGAACCTTATTGTGAACTGAGCATGAGAGGGATCTAGGTTGCACATTCATCTCTAATGTGGCCTACTCCCCATCTGGGGAAACATCGTCTTCCACGAAACCGGTCCCTGGTGCCAAAACAGTTGGGGACTGCTGGCTTCAGGCAGTACTTAGCACAAGTTAAAGTAAGGAAAAGACTCTTCAGTTATATTACACTAATCTTCCTTACATCATTCCTTGTTGCTTTATAATTTGAAATTGCAAAGAGTTAAGGCATACATATTTAGTAGGTTGTGTGAATGGATCTTGATCCACCAAACTCTAGGTCTCACAGAACCATTATCTTCCAGTGAGAGCAAAGGGTACTCTATTTTTCTACTGGTATAATCATTGGATACTAGCGGCCCCTTACACACAAGACCTATTGGAACATAGAAAACTCTGAAGAACATGTCTTTGATTTTTCTTTTTTCTATTTATACTCTGCTTCTTCAAGATTATCTATTTTATGAATAATTAATGCTCACTTCTACCATTTTTTTCTTTTCACTTGTTGCCACTCTTTGAACTTGAAAGATGATGCCACTGTGGATTACTAGTATCAATGAGAGAAAGACTACATACAACTAATGGCCATTTTTGTACATTAACAACACTTTTTCATTGTTAAAACATATTTTTTGTTTCCATAATAAAAGTTACTTCATTTGGGGCTTAACCTTAAGTTTGATAACAAGTAGACTGTTCCAGTAAAGTATTGAGCAGCAAATAAGTACTTACTAATTTTTTTTTCTTTGCCATTTGGTAGGTAGTACATCCTCCTGTGTGTTAGCAGCTTTTATAAACACTTCAAAGAACAGCATTCATGAAACTTAAGTGAAAAAGAAAAGTTGCTTCGAGTCCTTTAAAATTTTTTCTATGCATTCACAAGCATATGTGTTTATCCTTTTTAAATATGAACTATACAAAAGTATATGCAAATGTCCAGTTTAAAGAAAAAAAAAAAAACATGCATTTACCCAATACCAATGCTTCCTTTCTGAGCTTAAGAAATAGAATGGTCCTAGTAACTGAAGAACCTCTGAGCCCCTCAGTAATTGTATTTTCTTCTTTGCCCCTAAAAAGTAAACACTACCGTAACTTTTGTGTTAATAATTTCTTTGTTTTTATTGCCTTATTGCACACACAGATACACATATGCATACCATATATACACACCATTGACGCTTGAACAACAGGTTAGGGATGCCTATTCTCCAGTAACCCAAGAATCAAAAGTTACTACATGAAGTAAAAAATCCATGTATAACCTACCACTCCCACAAAGGAACTAAGTGCTTACTGATAAACAGTTGATTAACAAATATTTTGTAAGTTATATACTGTATTTTTACAATAAAGTAAACTAGAGAAAAGAATGAGGAAATAAGAGAAAATATGCTTAATATTCATTAGGTGGAAATGGATCATCATTATAAAGGTCTTCATCCTTGTCTTCACATTGATTAGGCTGAGGAGGGGATTGGTCCTGCAATCTCATTGGTAGCAGAAGAGAAAGTGGAAGAGGTAGAAGGAAAGGCATGAAAGATAGGTACACCTACAACCTTAAGGAAACATTGTAATTGGACTTTTGATTTTTCATTTCTCTAAAAATATCTGTATATGGTACTCATCCTTTTTCAATCATTTGCTGTAGTTTTTAGTGCCTGTATCAGAAGGGTCTGTGCTATAAAAAGAAGTCAAAAGCAATCGTGAATATTCGGAATCCTTCTGTCAGATATCTAATGTTAATTTGTGTTCTGGCACTGTTGGTTCTGCATTGGCTTATCATCTGGCATTGGTTCAGAAACACATCTTCATCAAGTCGTGTTCTGTTAATTCCTATGGTATGGTGTCTGTTAGCTCTTGAATTTCTCCAATACCTATATCTTGAAACCCTCTGCCCCCCACCTTTCTGCCATATCCATAACCTCTTTCATGATTTCCTTGATTGGTTCTGTTGTAAATCCTATGAAGTTTTCCAGAACATCTGGACATAGTTTTCTGCAGCAGGAATTTATTGTTTTGGGCTTGATGGCTTTCATGGCTTTTTTTTTTTTTTTTTCTTTCTAACAACAATGGTATCTGCAGTGGTGTAATTCTTACAGACTTTCGTGATGTTCTCTCCATCTGGATTGTCTTTCACAGCATTGGCAATTCTTTCCATAGAGTACCATGTGCATGGAGCTTTTTTTTTTTTTTTTTTTTTTTTTTTGAGATGGAGTTTCGCTCTTGTTACCCAGATCGCAATGGCGCGATCTCTGCTCACCGCAACCTCCGCCTCCTGGGTTCAGGCAATTCTCCTGCCTCAGCCTCCTGAGTAGCTGGGATTACAGGCACGCGCCACCATGCCCAGCTAATTTTTTGTAGTTTTTAGTAGAGACGGGGTTTCCCCATGTTGACCAAGGTGGTCTCGATCTCTTGACCTCGTGATCCACCCGCCTCGGCCTCCCAAAGTGCTGGGATTACAGGCGCGAGCCACCGCGCCCGGCTGTGCATGGAGCTTTAAAGGTCCTTATGACCTCCTAATTGAGAGGCCAAATTAGAGATAATGTGTTTGGGGGCAAGTAGACCACTTGAACACCTTTAGTGTTGAGCCTACAGACTTCTGGTTGGCTAGGGGGTTGTCAAATATCAAAAAAACGTAAAAGACAGTCTCTTACTGGCAAGGTACTTCCTGAATTCAGGGAAAAAGCGTTAATGGAAACAATCCAGAGAAAGGGTTAAAGTTGTCCAGTCTTTCTTGTACAACCAAAAGACTTGCAACTGGTGTTTATCTTCCCTTCAAGCCTCAGGGGTTAGCAGCTTTATTGATAAGGGCAGTCCTGATCATAAATCTGATTGTATGTACATAAGTCAGTAGAGTTGGCTTTATTTCTTGCTGCCTTAAATCCTGGTGCTCACCCTTACAAATAAGTGTACTTTTTTCAAGAATAGGACAGTTTTGTCTGTAGTTAAAAATTTATTCATGCAGACATTCCTCCTCTTCAGTGATTTTCTTAGTGTATGGGAGCTCATCTGCTGCCTCTTGCAGCAGAAGCTGCTTCTCCTATCTTGACACTTTTTAAGCCTGTCTTCTTTAAAATCATCAAACCATCCTTTGCTGGCATTAAATTCTCTAGCTTTAGGCCTTCACCTTCCCTTGACTTTAAGTTGTCATATAATGACCACTGTCTGGAATCATATTAGACCATATAACTATGCCTTTCTTACAACAATTCTGCACCCACATAAAAACTACATTTTCAAAATGAGATAAAAACGTATTTCACAAAAAAGTACAATATTTCTGTACTTGCTGGCATAGCTGCAGCAACTGCTTCACACATTTTCTTTTCTCTCTCTCTTTTTTTTTTTTTTTTTTTTTTTTTTTTTTTACAGTAGTTCTTGTGCTAGATTCATTTATCTTGGAATGGCTGGCAATCCAGCTGCACACCTCAATTTACAGTATATTATCAAGCGATTCAACTTTTTCTCGTAATGTCATGACTTCTCTGTTTCTTTGGATCACTTCCAGTACCACTGGTGGCATTTTGTATGGACTCCGTGGTGTTATGGTTTTGCACTAAACATGAAAAACATGAGAACCATGAAAGATCACTTTTTACAGCACTATGCAATTTACTGGAGAGATGAACTGCTCACACAGAGATAGCATCACATGGCATTTTAAGTGGATACTCACAAGACCTCACTGCAATAGCAACAGGAGGTGGCTATGAAATTATGAAGTGATACAGTATTAACTACAGTTAATTTTATGCATGTGTGGTTTAATATCGCATGTTTGCATTTGTTTACATTTCTCTTGACTGGGAATGGGACCATGTCTGTAAGTGTATAAGTTTTGAAAAATTTTAACTTTTTATAATAGATTTGTTTGTGTGAATTTTATGGTAGTAAATGATAAAAATAGACTAGTATCTACATATTTTTATATATTCTTGACACCTTTTTCTTAATTCGGTCAATATTTTTAGGCTACATTGTTGTCTGAGTTTTTTCAAATTGTGGTGTGTTCAAGGGTCAATTGTAGTTGGTCAGTTCCTGTCCTAGACTGTCATTTTCATTTATGTATGGTATCTGTCTGGTTCACTACAGAATCCCTAGTGTTTGGCTTGTATTAGGGCCTCAATAAATTATTGAATGAATGAATCAGTGAATGTTCAGAATGGCATATTGGAAAAAAAATTGAACTTGAAGGTAAAAGATTAGAAACTAAATGTATCTTTCAGAAAACTTAAATTTTCTTTTCTTATCAGGTGACCATGACCAAAATCATGTATTTCTTATTCTCTAATTTCCTAGTCTGTGAAATGGCAGTATTGACTGCTTTGTGTGCCTGGCTATTTGGGATTAAGTACCAATAAATAAATTTGAAAAACCACAAAAATCAAAACATCACATCCCTTTCTACATGAGTTCACAGTTTACGTCTGGAACAGACACATGAGCATGAGATAAAATGATAAGTACTACTGCATGTGAAAACACTTAGACTTATGAAGTGCTTCTGTAAGATACATTTTTAAAATGGTTAAAGTCAGTTGAAGATTTGTTAAAATTATCAAGATACTGCAATGTGTGAAAAGTTTCATAAAAATTATCTTTTTCTTGGTCTTGTTTCCATTTTGGTAATGGTGTAAGTAAAAATGGAGAGCGGCAGATGCACTAATTATCTCAGATGTTTTCCTTCCTCTCAACTTCCCAGTTGTCAAACAAAAAGCTGGACAGCATACAAAACTATTGGACTTAGAATCTTACAATATTCTGACCTTGTGTGGTTTGCCAGCCTATGACCGATCATCACATATGACCACTGTTTTGCTTTCTAGCCAGTGACTTTGTGAACAAAGCATAGCAGTACAGATATCCTCAAATACCCTCACTCACGTACCTTGAAAAAGTCACTTGGGTAGTAAACCCTATTAGTTCTTGCGCCACTAACACAAGAGCAATTGAGACCCTAAACTGTGTTTGCCTTAGCAACAGAATCCAGTAGTAAAAACTCAGCCAAAAGACCAGCAGTAAGAAAAGTAGTCAAGGTCAGGGCCAAACTATCTGCTGGAGTGAAACATTGAAAGCTTCCAATGAGGCTTTAATTAGACTGAAAAAACAGCTCGCTGTTAAACTGTTTTGTGTTTCCCATGCATAATTTACTCCCATGCATTTTTAATTCTCTCAGTGATCAAACGTCTTCTGGAAAAGTGCTAACTTCCTGGAGAGGTAGCACAAACACTGTTACGTTTTGTTAATTTTTCATTTCATTTATTTAATAAACAGTTTGACTGTTACAATCTGCAAGAAATAACATTAATCTAAGGCATCTCCTATTTTGGTTCTAAAACCATGACTCTTGTGCTGACTTCCATTTAGTCTTCTGAGACTGGGAGAACAATGCCAGATTGATTCATTTTGTCTTTAATTGTTGTAAAGACCATTGAGGGGTGAGGAGAATGTTGTTTGAATTTGACATTTTGAACTGGGAAACAGCTTGGAAACGTAGGCACAATTCCAGGTAAATAAGCTAAGTATACTTATGTGTGTATGTATATGTAAGTCTAATTGCTTAAAGGTATACCTCTAAGATTCCAAATTGATTGATGCTAGAAGGCAGCTGTTTGAGGACCAGAGGCATGGCTTATGTACAAAGTGATATGGAAAAAAATATAATTGGATCATAGAAAGACAGTGTTATTTAATCAGGATTTGAAATCTGGCAGCTCTCCTAGGAGAATAAAATACTATTGGATTGCATTTATTTGTGGACATCTTTTATCTTGCCTCTACATTGCCCTTAGGCACTGTAACTCCTGGAACAGAAGGCGTAATAATAGTTACTTGGTAGATACCTACTTGTTCACTGTCCATTCATTCATGCACGTAGACAGGTGATGTTTGGGAAGTATCACAGCTGCAGTCTGGCAGAAAGAACCTGACAGTGATTCCCTCTTCTTTCCTAGAATGAGGGAGTATGGAGCTTTTCATTTCATTTTAGAGACAAATTGTCTGCACAGGAAGGAAACACATGGGTAGCTGTGTCTTTGTTCATTTGGCTAACCAGGCCAGAACTGTGGGTCCATCTCTGCATATGCCACTTAGTGTTTCTCTACTCCTAACCACAGATTTGCACTTGAACCTTTGCCAGCTGTTTCCCAAGTGCATGCCATTGGATGTGAGGGAGACCTGAAATGAGTGCAGATAGATCCGCTTAAAATCATCACAACTTTTTCAAACAAAACGCATAAAGCATGAAGCGCTTAGTGGCAGATCAGAAGTTTTATCTTTATGTATTCAAAGGTCAAAACATTTGTAACACGTGCTGCTGTCAGAGTAAATGCTGTATGATAGGAACAAAACTTAAGAAGCCTGTGACAAACTTGAATATTGAGACTTTTGTTATCGTTTTAATCTAAAAAATTAAATTTTTTGCTGACAAGTTAGTATAACCAGTCCTAGAAAATAGTGGTTGGAATGAGAATGATCTCATTGATTCAGAAATTGCCGAGAGGTCTACAAAACCAGTATGCCTCCTGTTTTAATAGAGGACATAATTAGAGAACGTTCTTAGTTGTCTAGCTTTCTTGCCCTGGGATTTGTGCCTAGTTGTTTGAGGATTTGTAGGACTCAGATTTCCCTAACAATCAACAATCCTTTTTATTTTCTTTCTATTTTCACTTTTAGTTACCATCCATCTATAATCATTTATATAATTTTAAGTGATCTTGAGAACAACCTTGTAATATAAATCAGGCATTAGTCTTGAAGTTTACCTGGTTAGTCATTTGGTAACCTTTTTTTATCTGACCATTAGTGACTTAAACAACTCTGAGAAGAACAGTTGACAATAAAGTGGGAAAAAAAAAAGCATAGGCCTATACTAACAAAATTAATTCTAAGATACTACATTCTCTTACTAGGAAACAGTGTGAAAGTTTAAATATCATTCATCAAAGTTTTTTTTTAAAGTTATACACTTTTTTCCCCCACTTCTAGAGTATCTAAGGAAAAAAGTAAAAGAACTCTCTTTGGCATCTCTGGACAGTTGAATAGACAAGGAAGAACTGTAGTCTTTTTTTTTTTTTTTCAGCTAAATTACCCTAAGAACACTCTGCTCCAACATAGGAATGCCATGGAACAAGAGATGGTAACACAAGATACACCAGGAGACTCGAGGTTTTGTGTGTTTGAAACTTATATTCTACTATAATGACTAAATTGTAGAGAAGCAAAACTAATGTGTGTGTGTTTTTTTAAGATTTACCCAATGTTTTTTTGGTTCTGTCTTCTAGGAGCGAACAAACTCCTTTTGTTTTTTGTTTGTTTGTTGTTCTTAAATGTTCACCCTCAAATTTTATAAAACATTATAAAATGAGAAAAATTTAAAGTTATACTATATTCAAACTTTTAATGTTTTTATTATATGTATTTGCTCAAAATAGAAATGCCAAAAACATATAAAGATACAAAGTGGTATGCAGTTTATGCCCTACATAACTTAATTTAAATTGGTAGGACTATTTTTATCTTTCAACTTTTAATTTTCTTATAAAAATCAAGTAAATACAACAATTATTATTAGCTGAATAGCAGATGAGATCTCAGTATTTAAAAGAACAGATTTCTTCTTATAAACTTGCTTTTGATTTTAATTCAAGAATAATTATGCTGGGTTCTTACGTATGACTGGAGGAAAAAGCATGCGGTTGTGTGTTTTGGCATGTGTTCTTCTAGATTTTTCAGTGATGCTCATGATAACCAACAAGGAAAACTTAGATTGTAAAGCCTTCTTCTATACCAGATTCTAATCATTGCTCTGAGAAAAATTTCAACACCTATTTGTTACTTTTGCTTGAAGATTTTATGTGTATACATGTTGATGACTTTTAGTGGTAAATAGGGATATGAAATTCAGAAGAATAAACTTTTGGAACACAATCAAATAATACCTGCACAATCTGTGTTTCTTTCCAGCCCTATTACTGTTGCTTGAAAAAAGATTTGGGTAAGTAATTGCAAATTGATTAAAAGTATAACTTTTTTAATAACAGACTTTTTTCCCCCATCATTCATGTTTATAGCTCTCTCCTGAGAGAAAAATTCAAATGATAAAACATGGTTTTTAAATATATCACTACTATAAAGGATAAGAATGGGTGGGCATGAGTACATATCCCACCCCCAACACTTGTAGAAAAGTCTAGATTTTAGTATCAAACAGAGATGTGGGTGTTGTGCAATCAACAAAGCACTGTTGTGCAATAATTAAAGAATTTTTAAACTGAAGATTAAATTGGAATGTTGTTATAAACATAAAGGAAATGGCCAACATTTTTCTTTGTATCAAAAGAAAACTTATTTCTAAAAATAAGCACCCTCTTAGTGATGACCCTTTAAAATAGTTTTAAGTGATTACATCCACAGATGAGCTTTTGGCTCTGCAGCACTTTGCTATAAGTGGCTTGCTCTTTGATCCTGTAGCCTTTAATCAGGTGTGTATCTGAAGAAAGCACTGACTGGCATGGCGGTGTCACCAGCCAGACTTGAAGTCCCTCTGGAAGTGAACCTGGCATCAGTGAAACATGCTGCTGGGTCCTGAAAAGTCTCCTTTGGCAGATGAATTTAAGGAAATGAGGCATAATTTCCCACTTCTAAATTTTATTTTATCAAATTGAAACAAACATGGATCTTTCTAAAGTTACCAAATATAAAACATCTCTTGGTGAAAAGATAGAAGAAAGAAAAAGGAATGTGTTTTTGTCATCTTTTGTTTTTCACTTAACTTTCCCAGAAATCAGAATTAAGTGAAAGGAAAGATTGAGAATGTTACCTAGTCTAAGTGGTTGTTACTGACCTTTAGCATTCAATTCCTTTGTAATGAGACATTGATTTAGTGTAACCTAAATGTCCCAGTTTTCTTTATTTAGATTGTTATGAATATTGTCTTTTTTTAAACCCCAAAAGAAGCATTTTAGATATCATCTTAAGAAGTACAAACACCAAAGAATTATTTCTCTACTCTTTTTACTCAGCTTCCCCCTCGACTCAATCCCTGTTTCTTATCGCTACGGATTCTGTCCTCTATGAAGACGCCAGGCCTTGCTCTTCTCTTCCCTGTCCTTTTGCACCCCCTATCTAAACAGTCATAAGCACTGTCTTGGGTTTTTTCTGCCCAGCAATAACTTGGTGATTAAGGACTAGGCTGGAATCCTTCTTTGCCACTTATACATTGGCTTTGGAGAAGTTACTTAACCTTCTTAAAGAATGTTTCCAGTACCTACACTGTAGGGCTGTGGGATTAAAAAAAAATCACATAAAGCATTAACACAGTGCCTGCCTTCCTCCTCTGCCTTTCAGAGTGAATGCTGGATACAGGGTAAACACTCAATAAAGTGTTAGTTTTTATTGTTGTTATAAAGCTACTGCCTTGTCTGTACTAATCAAGCCCTCGTCATTTCTCCCCTAGAATATTCAAGTTAATGAATTGTGTCACATGCCCCATTTATCAGTGTCCTTCACAGTAAAGTTCTGGATCCACTGACTTGAATTAGTAAAAGAACAGTTTGTATATCAACTCATGCATTTAGCATTGGGAAATGAAATATTGCAAAAAAAGACTGTATTATCATTTTACTTGCAGATCTAGTTGCTATCGTCTACTATATTTAGGTGCAGTCATCATAAATAGATTTATTTTGAAATAGATTTGTAAATAACTTTGAGAATGTATATAAATGATTTTACTTAAGATTATCAAGACTTTACCATGTGTCAGGCACTGTGACTTAAGTGCTTTCCATACATTATCCTATTTAATTCTCAATAACCTATGAGATAGTTACTATTATTCCTATCCAGTTTATTGAGAAGGAAGCAAACACTGAGTGAGCTCAAGGTCATAAAGCTGGTAAACAGTACAAAAGGATTTGAACCCAGAGAGTCTCATTCCAGAGCCTATGCCCTTTAATACTAATCTATATTGTCCCCACACATTCAGGAATAAAATAATTTAGTAAAGTTTATCCCTAAACTAGAATTTTCTGGATGCTGGAAGAACAGTTCTTAGAGATTCACTTTTCAGAATGAGTAAGACCTAGTATTTGATAGCACAACAGAGTGACTATACTCAATAATAACTTGAGCGTATATTTTAAAATAACTAAAAGTATAATTGGATTGTTCATAACAGAAAGGATAAATGTTTGAGGGGACAGATACCCCATTCTCCATGATGTGATTATTACACATTGTATGCCTGTAACAAAACATCTCATCTATCCCATAAATTTACATACCTACTATGTACCCACAAAAACTAAAAATTATTTAAATTCACCTTTTAATATGAAAAAAAACCATACCCAACTCTTTTCTGATAAATAGTACCGAGTCTGAGAATTAATGTTATCACTGGCTTTTCTTCTTTTGTTGGATGATCAATAAGGTTTTCTCATTCACTGATTCTCTGAAGAAAGGGAGTGTGTCTGAAGGATGGCATCTGAGTTGAGGAGGCTCAAAATCATGACCTATAAGAAACATTTGAAAAATCTGGGGATATTTAGCCTTGAGAAGACCTTAGGGGAACTAAAAACTTTTCAAATAGTTGAAGCATTTAGATATGAAGGAAGGATTAAATATGCTCTATGTGGCCCAAGAGGACAGAATTAGAACCATTTGTTAGAAGCAATTGATGAGAACTTTCTAACAGTTAGGGCTATAACACCATTGAAACTCCTGTTCTGAAAAATCATGGCAAGACCTTTACTAATCAGGGTTTAAACTATTTCTATTCATCTCCCAGCTCAGGGATTCCACATTTTCAGGGAAAGGAAAGGTAGCTAGCTCATTTTTTGTGAGGAAAAAATGATCTGCCCGCCTTGGCCTCCCAAAGTGCTGGGATTATAGGCATGAGCCACCGCGCCCAGCCACTTTTTTTTCTTTTGAGACAGAGTCTCAGTGTCACCCAGACTGGAGTGTAGTAGCATGATCTCAGCTCACTGCAACCTCCACCTCCCACATTCAAGCGATTCTCCTGCCTCAGCCACCTGAGTAGCTGGGATTACAGGCGTGCACCACCACACCTGGCTAATTTTTGTATTTTTAGTAGAAACAGGGTTTCGCCATGTTGGCCAGGCTGGTCTCAAACTCCTGACCTTAAGTGACCCACTCACTTTGTTTGTGGTAGTTCTTAAAAATTTACTTTTTATTTGAGGTAAAACATACACATGGTAAAGTATGCAAACCTAAAATGTATACAAATAACACCACAAAATTGTATACATTTACACACACATATAGACACAAACACACACTTGTGTAACAGCTACCCAAATCAAGATATAGATAATTTACCACAGGGGTCCCCAATCCCTGCCCAGGACCACTACCAGTTGGTGGCCTGTTAGGAACTGGACTGCGCAGCAAAAGGTGAGCGGAGGGTGAGGGAGCATTACCACCTGAGCTCTCTCTGCCTCCTGTCAGATCAGCGGCAGTATTAGATTCTCATAGGAGTGCGAACCCTATTGTGAATTGTGCATGTGAGGGATCTAGGTTGTACGCTCCTTATGAGAATCTAATATTTGATCATCTGAGGTAGAACAGTTTCATCCTGAAACCATACCATCTCCACCCCCATCTGTGAAACCAGTCCTTGGTACCAAAAAGTCCCTGGTACCGCTAATTTACAACATCCTAGGCAAATCTCTCCAGAAGTAGTCACTATTTTGATTTGATTATCTATTTGATAATGTACTTGATTTGATTAAAAATTATTTGACTAATAATTTTTATAATACTACCTTTTATTTTTCTCTTGTGAGTAGTTTTAGAGAACACTTGTTTTTTTTGGTCACTGTGTTAGTTTGCTAGGGCTGCCATAACAAAATGCCACGGATTGGGTGGCTTAAGCAACAGCAATTTGTTTTCTCACAATTGAACAACATTAAGATGTCCATAGATTTGGTTTTTACTCTCCTTGGCTTGCAGATGGCCTCCTTCATGCTGTGTCCTCACATGGCTTTTTTGCCTGTGCACACAAATGCTTGGTGTCCCCTCATAGAACAAATTTCTTCTTCTTATAGGGACACCAGGCAAATTGGAATACAGCCCACCCTAACAGACTTATTTTCACTTAATCTTCTCTCTAAAGGCCCTATCTTCAAATACAGTTACATTCTGAGGCACTGAGGTTTCGGGCTTTAACATAGGAATTTTGGAGGGACACAATTTAGCCCTTAACAGCCACCCAACAATTTTGACCCCCTTTCCTGTATTTTGGGGAGTTTCCCACTTCAGGAGTGCAGGCCTTGAGAAGGTAGAATCCAGAAATTGACATTTCAAGCATATGCCAGGACCCTGCAAATTCCTATGCTTGTTCTGCACAACTTCAAAGATGGCATGCACATAAACCACAATGACAAGGATTCCTTGCAGGGTTTTGCTGTGTTCAGCTTGTCCAGCATATGACATAGACCCATTGTTTTTCACAATTTTTAAACTACTGTCACAAAGCAGATATTGCAGCTGGGCTCACTGGGCAGTGGACATGGTCACTCAAATCTCTACTTCTAGAAGTTGCACAGTCCTGCTCCTACCAGTATTGACATGGATTTCTGCCTTGTGACAGTAGTTTCAAATGGATTGGTAGATGTAAATGTTATCTCACTGTGATTTTAATTTGCATCCCTTGATTTGTCAATAGATTGAACATCCTTTGTTATACGGTTCATGCTTCTGTGAATTTCATTTTTTTCCATTGTCTTATTAGGCTGTCTTTTGAAAAATGAATTGCAATATTCTTTTTAATATAATTTCAACTTTTAAGTTTAGGGACACATGTGCAGGTTTGTTACATAGGTATATTATGCGACATTTAGGTTTGGGATTTGAGTGATCCCATCACTCAGGTAGGGAGCATAATTCCCAGTAGGTAGCTTTTCAGCCTTTCCCCTCTTTTCTCTCTCTCCTCTAGGAGTTCCCAGTGTCTATTGTTCCCATCTTTATGTC